GATGCACCCAAGGACATCATTCTCACTGCTGTTGCTGGTACCTCATGAGAGAACRTGGACAAAACGGCGAACACCAGTTGAAGGAGCACTGTATGTTCAAGGAATCATCTGAAACTGGGCAATGGGGCCAAACCAGGGCTCCCTGAGCCAAACAGGACCACATATCATAGAATCATAGAATGCCCAAGATTGGAAGGGACCTCGGAGGTCATCGAGTCCAACCCCCTTGCACACGCAGGGTAATGGAAGTGAGTTACCAGCATCCATGGAAAGGACCCTGAAAGACGAGCACCGGGGGTCTCGAAAGACCCCAGGGATGACCAAAGGGCACGGGGCACACACACGAGGGTAGGATGCRTTCTAATGAGCTCCAGGAAATACAGGGAATACGTATGATCACTCTGGGAAATTTAATGCATATGGCGACAACAGAGAACTACAAGCTTTGGTTAAGGCAGCTCACGGCCTGCACGTCRGGAGCAAACGCTCCCCATGCAACCAACACTGCAATAAGGTGAGCGCCTGCTGCTTAACACTGCCTGGGTGTCGAGAGGCTTATTCCCTATTTTCGGCGACACGAGGAGCATTTAATCGAGCAGAACAGCTAGAAAGCCAGGGAAATGGCACAAAGCTTTCCTTACACGAGCCATACATATTACAGCATACCTACAGGGCGACAGTGCAAATATAAACCCAATTAAAAGCTCAGCAGAATAAGCCCACTATAAAAAGCATGGTTTGCAGCAGAATGCAAGATTTCCTGAATCCATCTGTAACTGTGCCCTTTTTTTGTTTGTTTGTCACATTTCCAAGTGTTATCCTTGACAATTAAGAAGACTTGAGCGCTCACAACATTCCCTCACAACATTCCCTCGTAGTGAGCACACGAAGCAAGGAAAGGAACTGAGTAATTCCATGGGCCTGACCCCATGCAAGCAGCAAGGATGGTTCTTTCCAGGGCTTTCAGTGCCGAGGAGCGTGCTGGAAAGCAGGGACCAGAAGGCAAACGGAGTGGTGTGAACTGTGGAATCTCAAAAAGCTCATTTCTCTCCCATGCACAGCGCATGCCAAATCTTAAAATTCCTGCTGCATCCAGTTATGAAACTACAATAGAGGAGGAAAACAGATGGCTGAAGCCTTTATGAGAAAAAGATTTAAGCATTACTTCATTGCCCAAAAAAAGGCAGCTATATGTTTGAAAATATAGAACCTATTTCAGACCGTAGCTAATCGATATAAAATAGGCGATTTGCCTCGCGGAAATGAAGCCGATATTCAGCCAAAGCAGCACACAAAAAAATTAACCCTTTTAAAACACTGTGGCTTGTTGGGTTTTTTAAAGCAAATTTTAAAAGCCAAGTAGCTCACAAACAAGATGAGAAGCCTATTGTAAAAAGTAACACATTTCTTCCTCCTTAAAAAAGCTGCCAAACGGCAGAATGGGTGGAAAAGCCTCTTAATGTCTACTCTTTTCCGGTGCTTTTAAGCAATTAACAGCTCCATGCAGGTGAGCAGCTTCTTAGTGGGCAGAGAAAGGGCCACATAAGCATTGAGAAAGGACAGCGGCACATCAGGCACTTGTCAACCCCAACCCTGCAAAGAGCTAAGCCATTTGCGGTGGGATCCGGCCACCGTGACATCAGGTCAGATATCAAGGTGACATCAGGTCAGATATCAAGGTGACATCAGGAGATTACCCTGAGATACCTCTTGGGAGATGAACGACAGGGACAGACAGGCAGGAGCGGTGCAGGGAGGACACGTTTCGCTGTCCCCTGTTTCACTGTCCCCTGCCCAAGGCTCCCGCGTCCCCACCAGGTTTGTGCTCAGTGCAAACGCACGAAACGGGGTGCAGGTCTCTGTGCGGGAGGGCGGCGCTGACACCAAGGGCAGAGCTGAATCTCTCCTGCCAAGCACGGGCTGCAGCTTGCTGGCAAGGCCGAGTGGAAAATCCGGCACTGCCCCGGCTTATTCCGCGGGCAAGGAGCGGATGACAGAGCCGAGCCCTGCCAAGCCTTCCATAAATCAAGTGCTTATACGATTTATTCAAAGCATGACTCCCACTACTGTGAGAACGTAACTAATCCACATTAAAGACCAAGAGTACACTTATTTATTTATTTTAAATGGAAGGCCCTACATGAGCTAACCGCTCAATTTTTCAAAAGCCCCAAGCAGCCACAGCAATCCCATCTGGGTCAGTGGGAACAGCCAGGATGCTACACAAGTGACCCGCCTCTGCTAAATCACCTGAAAATAAGGTTTTTCCCAACAAAACGGCGATAACCCTGATGCTCCATCACAACCTGCCACCAATGAAGAACACTCAGCCGAGGGCCTTTAATCATTAGCAAGGATGAGCAGCAGAAACTGCAGAGCATAGGAGAGGGGAGCAAAGGGAGTTGAGGCCTATGCTGGAGAACTGCTGCTCTACGTGTGGATAATCCCTTGTAGGAGCAACGCAGGACACGAGAGCAGCAGCACAGCCGCCGCTCTCGTGCCCGCTGTTATTTCAAACACCACGTAAAAAAATCCAGATCCCTGCAACGTTGGTGGGGACAAAGAGAAGCAAAAGCTACGGCAAGCCTTGCGAGCTGCACCTAAGAGGGAGGGAAATATTTCCAAGCATAAGCCAGTTCTCGAGCATTTAGACAGATGAAAGCCTGAAAGAACAGAGCAGTTCATAAGGCAGCCTGTTTCGGGCACAGACAAAGCTTGCTCACAGACACGTTYGTGTTCGAGTGTGTTTACGACTGCACAGCCATTTATTTTCAAAGATGAATGGAGCATTCTTTTCCTACCAAAACACAGCATTGTGAAAATGCCAGTACATTAAAATAACTCAGTGCCTACTACATTTCTAGCAAAACACCCTTACAGTATGGAACTAGCAGCGTATGCTACAGCATCGCTGCTTAATATATTTAGAACTGCTTTCAGAAAGGTGCAGCAGATACAGCTTATTTCCTCTGTTTTCACTTGTGCCAAATTCAGAGTCAAGCTTTAGACATAAAGTAACCAGAGTGATGCTGTCAGCACATTCAGAACYGTATCTTCTCCAAAGTTAAAGAAAGGCTTTGTTAAATGTTACCAAAACAYATACATATTTTCTTGCTTTGTTTCATAAAGGATTTCCACTTACTGAAGAACAGTGCACTTTAGATTCATATTCACAGAACATTTTTTGCTCTGAGGCTCTCCAAACAAGAGGAAACAGAACAAAAAAGCCTAAAATCAAATGACTCCACGAATGATGTTTCTTGCTATTGTTTTCTTCTCCTAAAATTCACCCATACTTCACCAGCGGACACTTCTTCCTTCCTAAACAATATTGGATTTCCTAACACAACACTGAGAAGCCAAGACWTTCCAGCACAACCTGTCCCACCAACAGCCACCAGAAAACAGCACCAGCAATACAGGATGGTTTTAGGATTTGACATTTTGAAAAGCTCTATCACTGCTTCACATACAGGGATTTTGCTAGGTGCTAGGCATTACAGTTACAATTAAGAGTAGTTGTTAGCAAAAAGTAAAAAAAATTGTTTTTAATAACATTTTTGTGTGCAACTTTTTCTTAGTTCAAGTGAAAGGAAGTTGAAGACCCAATACGAACATTCCCCTGTGACTTTCATACTTTAATTCTGGAGCATTCTGTAGATTCACAGTTAAGGAGTGAATCAGAGTGAAATTAAAAGCCACAATAGGGCAGTTTATGCAAAGAAACCCTAAGAAGTAATAAACAATTACCAAAATAGCCCCGATAAAGTTATTATGAGGAAACTCTATGGCCTAAACTAGACAGGAGGTCACGCGAGACAATCACCACAGTCTCTTTCAACTTTTAAAATACTTTTAGTTACAGTTTTTTCTATGAAATTAATTTCAACTTCAATGATTTTTAAAGTAATCTTTCAAAACATTTTAGGCACGAAGATAACTTTTTTTTTTTTTWAATCTATAATCCCAGAGTTTTCCTTCAGCACTGAGCACCTGACAGCCTTCCAGCTTATTTGACAGGTATTTCTAACTCYAAGAGATAGGATTTAACTTTGTGGAGGCCTTACTCGTAACCGCTGAAAGCAGCCAACATAACTGCCAAACTTGCCAACAAGAGGCTAAGCCAAGATTTATAAAGGAAGCTGCAGTTTATTATACGGCAACATGAATATCTCTGTTTGCAAGATCCATAAAGTACTTTCTCTGCCCTGACACTACAGCATCACACCCATGTGAGGAACTAAGACAGCACTATGAATCTTCCACAAATATAAAATAGCACTTAAGTACAATAGCGAACTTGGCTTGACTATTTAGAAGCTCTTCCTAGTCTTCCCCATCATAGTCAAGTTCTTTCTACACAGCAAGATTTGCCTGAGCCAGACCCATACAATTAGCTGCTATCTGGTCAGCTCCAAAGTCCTCCGATTGCTCYATGACAGCACAAAATTCCTGCCTGGCTAACATATCTTACGAGAGTTCCTAAGGATCTGTCTCCTAGTCCTTCCCATTCAAAGAAGGGAAGGAACAAGGAAAGCAAGGAGAAGACACGATGTACCTTGGGTTAAAAGGGACAGAGCAAAGTGAATATCCACCCTAGATTAAGCCAACACAGTGTTCAAGGTTGGTCTTAAAGGTGTCGCTCAGCTAACAGCAGCAGATAACGCTCAGCACCAAGAGCTGAGCTGGAAAACAGCTCGGGGAAAATATGCACTTTTTTTGGAGAGCGCTAAATCAAAGGCTCCAAGCTAATAAATGCACCCTCCTGCACGACAGCAAAAATGCCAGCCAAGAAAAACCAGAGTACAAAGCAAAGGCAACAGGTCCAAGGTGAGCGTGCCCCAAAGCTGGCATCCAGAGAGGCCCACACTCCACCCCGCTCCTTCCGCAATGGGAAGGAGGGGAGGAAAAAAAATGCACACGCAGAGTCCATCCCTTCCCAGCATCAGCAACTCACTCTACCTCCTCTGTAGCAACACGAGGCGAAACACATTTCCTACCATTTTTTGGTGCACTCGACCATCAGTTCCTGGTACGAAGCCACAAACTGGAACTTGGACGCATGTTTCCCAACACGCTGCAGCCTTTTCCAAACTGAAGCCATGATGGGGAGGAATATCAGTCCTATTGCACAGGAGCAACTCCGGGAATACCAAAGGAGGTTGAAAAGTGCGTGTGTGCGCCCAACACTCAGCAGATTTATGTACAGATACAGTAAAAGCAATGCACAAGATGCCTGAAGGGATGTCTACGATGCATATTCTGCCTCTCCCGTCTTCACGGTAAATCCCAGTCCTGTTGAGCAGCTCATCCCTGGCCAGGGGCAGCGCGCAGTATGAGCGGATGAGTAAGTAAAAGGCAGGAAGAAAATCCTCTCATAGATCCATCATTCCTCACGTACTAGATGATGTGGAGACTGGAAGACAAAACGGACAGGGGGAGAAAACAGCAGTTAACATATTGCATGCCACAGCGCTACAGTCGCACGCGACCTTGCACCTTCTCAAGCAACAACTCCAAGGAGCCATAAACACCTACCCCTGTGCTGCTCCCCCCCAATTAAATAAATAAGGAGGCAGCAGCAATTTCAGGAATGCAAACCACGAGTCTGTTTGGAAACATATCAGCATGCCCTTTTTTTATCAGCACCATCGCAACTGGCAACAACAACAAAAAAGGGCAGGTCGGGGCCACGCCGGCTCCGTGGGGAGCATCCCCGGGGAGCGCGGCGGGGCCGCGCGGCGAGCCCCCCGCGAGGGCTTTGTCCGCGTGACAAAGGGGGCAATAACAGTTGTTTGCCCTCGCTTCACCCCGCGGGCGGTGTCGGCGCCGCGGGAGGACGGGGCCTCCCCGCGGGGCAGCCCGGGCTGGCGGGGACGAGCCGGCTGCGCGGGGCTCCGCCGCCACGGCGCAGCGCCCCCCGCCAACGGCAGCCGGCGGCCGTTGGGGTTTAAAAATTAAAACGCCAACGGGCGGGGCGCGGGGAGGGCAGCGCCGCGGCACTCACCTGCCCGGGCTCCTGTGGTGCCGCCGCAGCCCGCCC